GCCTGACTTGGCCACGGTGGTACACGCTCTGGTCACATCCCGCCTTGACTACTGCAACGCTCTCTACGTGGGGCTGCCCTTGAAGACGGCCCGGAAGCTTCAGCTGGTTCAGCGCGCGGCAGCCATGTTACTAACTGGAGCGGGATGCAGGGAGCACACAACGCCCTTGTTGTCCCAGCTCCACTGGCTGCCGATTTGCTACCGGGCCCAATTTAAGGTGCTGGTTTTGGCCTACAAAGCCCTAAACGGCTCCGGCCCAAAATACCTCTCGGACCGCATCTTGGCCTATGAGCCCACGAGGACCTTGAGATCGTCTGGCGGGGACGAGAGAGAGGGCCTTCTCAGTGGTGGCCCCCCGGCTGTGGAACACTCTCCCTACAGACATCAGGCAGGCGCCCTCCCTTTTGTCCTTCCGAAAAAGCCTTAAGACATGGCTGTTCGAGAGGGCATTTAATTAAGTGCTATAATAATGTGGTAAAGATGACTGGAATGGAACAAGGAATATGAGATTGGTTACGATTCTACTATGAGACGAAGCGGATTATTTAGTGTAATTTTATAATTGTTGTATTGCTAATATGTTGTTTTGTAATTGCCTTTTTGTAAATTGCCTTTTTATATGTTGTACACCGCCATGAGTCGCCCTAGAGGGCTGAGAATGGCGGTTAACAAATGCACCAAATAAATAAATAAATAAATAAAATAAAGACAGAATAGCACCACTGTTGTGTGCTGTATGTATAATGGCCGATAGTTTATAGCTGACCTCATTGTTTGGGCTCCGAAGGATCCCTTTACTAAATATGCAATCTTGGAATCAAACAAAATTGTTTATTACATTTTTGCCTTGTGATAAAGATGGGTACCATGTGTGCTAGGAACTCATCTCATCTGTATAATTCTGATATGCCCAAGAAAAGTCCAAATCTTTTGAGAACACCTTTCTCATTATTTCCTGCTTCTTGGCAGGGGGTTGGACTGGTTGGCCCACAAGGTCTCTTCCAACTATGATTCTATGATTTTATTCCCCCACCGTTATCCTTTAATGAAACTCTATGAGGTGTGAGATGCTTATTCTTTCCTTTCTTTAGTACCTCTGTAAATTTAGAGACTTGGCTTAGTTATTTGAACATCTGGTTTTTAGAATATCAGGTTTTAGTCTCAGCTTTCCACACAGGTAATTCGGAATTTAACCCACCCCCCAATTTTCAATGGAAATATGTCTCATTGCTGAATAAATACCAAGCGGCTGTGCTCTGAGGAATAAGGTCCATTTCCTATTGTGCTTGTTAGCAAGGTGCTCTGTTTTGCCCTCTTCTGCTTTCCGAAGGTAGAAACATTAGTTTCCAGGCAGAAATGGATCCCTTTTTCTTCCATCATGCTGACATAGTCTTTTTCTTAGAGCTGATACACAAAAACACTCCACCCAACGTAGCATTGACTGAGTGCAACAGGACAGGCTATAATTAAGAAGAACAAAAAGACTCTATCGTCCTTCATGGCCTCAATCACTTGTCATTTTAAGCTGTTTTTTTAAATTTTTTTAAAAAACACTTCTATTCCTTTATGTTTAGTGACTTTAATTTTCCTACTAAGAATGCTAAGAGCCTGAGCATAATTAGGGATGACAAAAAGGCTATAGTTCCAAGGTTTCCATTGTGCCCCCCCCTCCCCAAAGTGCCCCCTAATAACTCCTCCAACATGAGGGTCACTGTTTAATTACATTGCTCTTTCATGTAATTGTGCTCTGAAGCTACTTTTCCAAATGTCCTTCCAGCTTCATGCAGATCCAAAGGTTGGCCCTTAAGCATTTTGTGCAATTAGGGACACTTAATTCTTTACTTTCATATGGAAAGTGGAACTGTACAATTTTTTGAAAAAAGAAGAGACAACTTTAACTCTTGCATATGGTATTTTGAGATTCATTGCTATCAAAATGAGCCTTTTAATATTTAAATAAGAGGCAATTATGCTGTGCCTAAAGCTGTGAATTTTTGGAGGTGTCTATCCTCCTCATATCTCCATTCCCCAAAGATGGCGCTTGGGAAATCATTGAATAGCACTGTATAGAGCATTGTGTCTGCATTATGAATCAATACACAAAGTAAAATAAAGTGGTTAGGGCATTAACTACTAATTGAGGACCACAAATGAACCACTAAATTCTTGCTACTATTTTGTTGTTACCATTCACAGTGTACAATGATGCTCTGAGTTAAGGATTACTGCACATACATGGACAAAGTTCAGAAAATACCTTTAAAAGCATGTCCCTTTACAGTTACTTGTTTGGAAAGAACACTCCCACTACCATCAAACTAAGAACTAAGGGAAGTGTGAGGCTGTCTTCAACTATCTTGAAGCTCTTTTATTTTCTTGCTGGAAAAAAGTGCTAAATAGCCCAAGGCATAATAGTTTTATGGAGCTGGGAAACACTTCTTTGTTGATCTACTGGCAGGCAAAGCCTAAGGTATGGGGGGGGGGGGCTGATTTGAAGACCAGCATGAATGAGGCCTGAATTGATGGGGCCGGTTGGCTTCAATCACATGATGAGATGGAGCTGCAGGCTACTTAAGGCTGCTTCACCCACCCACCCCGTCCTGTGCTACTAATATATATACTGGCAACATTTCTGATTTTTTTTGCAGATAGTATATGATTATATGAATGCCATATCTGATCTAGAAAAACTGAAAAATTCTATGAAGCTGTTACAGGAGAGCAGTGGGGGAGCAGCCTTAAATAGCCTGCAACTCTGCCCTGTCCTGTGACTGGGGCCAGTGAAGTCAACCGGCCCCACCAATTGACTGTATTACAACAAGTATAAGTTAAAGCCAATGCTGTGAAAGATACTTTTAGGCTTATTGGTTCTGTTAATGGCACACATTTATTAGCTCTTTATGTAATGCACTCTTAAGACCTCATTATATGGGGCTAGATTTGGCGGCAAACTGCAACCTAGCCCTGGTCACCCACGGAGCCAGTCAGCTCCCATCAAACAATGTTGTGCCAGCTTTGTGGGTGCAGAAGGGAGGAACCAGGATGCTCCACGCTTCCCCCTATGTGATTCCCCCCCCCCCGACAATGTGGGCGATGCGGGCAATGCAAGGCATAAGGCACCGGATGCCCCATGCCTCGCAGGGAAACAGACCGCCACCTCCTTCTGCTGCCAGCTGTCTGATGAGGTGGTTAGTATGAGATATCCAAATACAGAGTGCATGAAGAACATGACTGATGTTATCAGAAGGTTGCTTAACAGGACAACTTCAGTCATAGATGAGCTAATGTAGACCCCCTGGCTTTGGTAATGTCCTAAGAATGGGAGATATGCTGAGGAATGAAAAGCCTTTTTTAGATATACTACTGTATTTCTGCTCCTCCTCTCCTCCCTTCCTAATAATCTTTTGTAAAATACAGAATCCTAGGTATAATGAATTTTTTTAGGCACATGGGATCTTTCAGTACCATTGTAGATTTTAGTGGTCCCTTGAAGAGGAGACCATTAAGAGTCTCCTAACAGAATCTAAATAGCAATGATTAACAGCATAGAAGCTGAGGTCTACTCTCAGACTGCTGGCTATTGCTGAGAGTTCATTGGGGAAAGCTCTCTAGGGTTTCAAACAGAAACCATTCTCAGCGGTACTGGAGATGACAGGGATTGAAACTGGCATGTTCTGGAAGTAAGTATTCTACTATAAAACTATGATCAAATATATTTTTTTATAAAACTAAACATGACATACTGCTTTATCAATGCTTTAGAGTATTTCTTTGAAACATATGACTTCTGTATTATTACAGCTTAGCATATCCCAAGATCTGAATTGATTTCACTGGATTCATCAGAACTAAGCCAGTGCATGATTTCTGTTTTTGCATCTGTGGCAGTTTCATCTATAAACTGATCTGTGCTCCAATATCCACAAATGAAGCAAAAACACAGTATTCAATGCTTCGATGGCCATTTATTAAAATACATTTTAATAGAATCCGTGGACATGTTGTAATCAAAACAAATCTTATGCATTGATGGGTGTCTGTGATTGCTAAACCTGTAGTTTCTGATTATTTCCCCTTCCCCCAAATCTTCAATAATCTTGACATTAAATATTCTTTTGCCTGTGTGTGTCTATGCATCTCCCACATACATACACAGAGTATAAAGATTAATCATCTCTACTGGGGAGTCTTTTTGGATGAATATTTACTTAGGATGATCTGGATTTTAGATTTCTAAGGGCGAAGGAATGGAAAAAGATGAAAAAAAATAACTAAACCCCAATATTACTGTTGATTGAAAAGTCTGTAGGATAAAGTTGACATCCTCAAATCTAAATACTGACCATATGCATTCTGGTTGGTTTAAGAAGCTCTGCAGTTGACATGGATGTAGGTTTGCATGAGTGTGTTTGTCTGTGTGTGAGAGCAATAGAAAAAGCATCTGTCTGTAGGCAAAACTTGAAATGGGCTAGTACTACTGAATATGAAAAGATAAGTTATACAAATGGAGTGATTTTTTAAGAGGTGAGCTGTGGGTAGTAAGTCCTTAATCAAGAATATAGATTAGGCTTTTGGCAGATTATCCATTAAGGTATATTTGATGTAATGTGGGCGATTGCCTGCCAAACCTTTATATCAGGGTGTCCAATTGCTTGTCTTTATAAGATATATGTTTGACACACACATCTAACTATGGCTGTACTTGCTTCATTAACTTCAGTATGGTTTTCCTTGCTGACATCAATGGAAAGCAGTTCATATCTTTCTCTATCTGCAGCCCAAGCTTCCCCTTTTAATATGGGAAGTTGTGGTGTGTGTGTGCATGCATTCGTGTGTATATATTGTATGCATGCATTTGCATATATACCATCTTGACCATGTATGCATATGTGGTGGTCTCCAGTATTATTGCACTATATAAATGAGTTTTCCTATATTTACTTTTCTTCTTTTCTACTGTATTTACTCTTTCTCTCTTCCTTCCTTTCTGTTTCTCAAAGGCCTTTCACACCTGATGATGGGCGAGCAAGGTAAGTTTTTTGCTTTCCAACTTTCACCAGTAGCTGAATGTGGCCACAGTGACCCATGCTTCCTCTTAATTCCAGTCTGGGTTCCATAAACTCACAGCACAAAGCAGTTCAACTGCTTTGTTTAGTTCTCATCTTTCTTTTCTGTAAGTTATTTGCGATCACCTTTGGTCAAGTAGATACTCCTCCAAAGTCTATAGTCAGGCATGCTGACAATGAGTTGTTGTAACAAAAGCAAATGAAAGAGAAGGCTGGCATGCTCTTTCTCTTTCTACCCACCTGGCTTTCTACTTTTATTTTGATATCCGGCACAGTGATGTTACCTGCTTAGATACATGTGGCTTTCAGAAATCTGTTCTCCACATTTGGACAAATAGTCTGCAAGAATATGTTGCCATTTTCATGGCATGATCCTTGAAGACAAAATGTGCAGCTGATCATTTTCCAGGTTTCAACATGCATTGTAAAAGATATATAGATGTATTATGCCCAGTTTCATCAAGTGAACTTTAGTATTACCTGGGGCTGGCCAGGAAAATGAGTTAGATATAAATCAGAGGACCTGATTATGCAGGTTTGACTTTTTGGTGTGATGCCAAGCACAAAGTAAATATGTAGAGTCTGGAGAGAAAAAATGTAAGTTTACTGACAATGTGCACCGCAAACAGAATTTGGCATTGTTACAACATGATCTGCAGGCACCTAGTTCCCTTGGTATTCTTATTGTTCCCTCTGGATACAGCATGTATAGAGAGGTGTTGGATGCTTACCTCCATTTCATTAAACAGCAAGGTCATATTTGACAAGTCAGATGAATGGAGGAGTGCCTTGGGCAGGAGTGTGATACTATTACCTTTTTGGTTCCAGATATAATAGAGCCAATATAACTTCAGGATAATTCAGACAACCTTCATCTTAAAGATCTAAGAGCTCTGCTTCAGACCACTCTATATTAGCATTAGGAAGCCAGTCAAAGCTATCAGGCCGTACTGAAGAGCATGCATGTGTGAGCGCACATTTGCCTGGTTCTTTTTAGCTGCCTTTAAATAAATACTAATAGAATCATGTTCTGGTGTACCTAGCACTGCAATCTTGTCTTGGCAGGTAGCATACAGCAATCATGTTTTGTTGTCAGATAAGTTCTTGAAACGTATTGATAATTAAGGCTAGTGTAGATTGGATCTAGCATTTTTGAAAAGGAGGGGAAAAAAAACTACCAGAATTGCCTATGTTTTGCTTTGCTTTTTCATCAATTCTATAATCAAATAGCATAATTGCTACTCTGATGAGTCACTATAGGTATTTTCTTGAGGCCAAGATAGTAGACAGAGTGAGATTAATTCAGTACAGCTAATTTAGGAAACTGGTAAGTAGCGTTGACCAATGACAAGTAGAGTTACTCAGTATATATATTGGAGATCACAAGCATTATCTAAGATGTTTCAGCATCTCAAACATTGAGTAGGAGGCTCAGCAATATTTGAAAGTTCATTCAAGCATTTTATTTCCATTTCTGACCTATCATTGCTATCATTCTGCTGAGAGGTCCTCTTCTTCTCAATTCAGAGTACTTTACTAGCTCCCAAGGATCTCTTCACATGCTTTCTGGTTTTTCCTGTTGTTTAGACAGATAGGCACACTAAAGAAAACATTTTATTTGGCTGGTTGCCACTGCCCACTGTCAGATTTACCAGTCAAGGTGATAAATAGATCAGATAGGAACAAATATAGGGTTTTCTTAAGGAACTGTAAAAAGCTTGAGTTTTGCCTGCTATATTAATGGAAAAGCATTACATTATGGAGTATGCCTCTACTGAAGTAAGCTATGAAATGGCTATTTTGTACCATTCAATATGCACTGATTGCAAGTCCATAAAGACTATAGATGGTTCTGTTACCTTTAATCAATTACAGTGGTTTATTTATCTTACTTCCATTTGCCTGGTGACTAGATTAAGGAAGCCACTGACCTCTGACATTGCTCTTCACTACCCTTTATCTATCTCATCATGACAAATAATTGTGGATATATTTTTCTTTCCAGCTAATTTTCCCATAATACCTTCCTTCCTGATAAATAATTATATAGTGTATGTAAAAAGCTAATCTACATGTGTGAATAGAAGTGCCTATAAATACATATTATACACAGCAGTGATATAATATAGAACTACAGTGTGTGCATTAATGTATCCAGAACACTTACACAATCTTATTCTTCTTACACTACTATGAGTAGGTGGAAAATATTGAGCAAATATGTTTCCACAGGATTTTAGCCTTCCTTTCCCCTATGTTTTTCCCTTTTGTTTTCTTTGTGTATTTGAATTTGATGTGTTGTGCTGTGCATTCCTGACACACTGTTAGTGCATGAAAAGTTTGCCTTTCTCCATGTAAAACTGGAGCTAAAGAACTTAAATATCAAGTATATGTTGTGTGGTTTGTCGTATCCTTCTTTTTAAAATGTGTGCTTTTGATGGTCTTTCTTTAGTGCTATGTTCATATGCTTAATTTCAAATTTTTGGTGATGTGCATAGTGATCTAATTTTTACTTTTTATTTTTTTTATTCTTCCTTTTGCTCTTTTTTCTTGCCTTCTCCCTGGATACTTCTCCGTACCTGTGCATATATGGACATACAACTTCGTATCCTATAGGTAGAAGTAAAGGTATAGATCATTTTATTTTCAAAATAATGGCTCTGATTATTGAAATGTTTGTAAAATTTATAAGTGTCACTTAAAAATGCATATAATCACAAGTGTGTGTATCAATTTATCTATTTTTGTTGGTTTAAACACAATTGTTCATACTATTCTTAAAGAAAGATGTCTTACTTGTATATTGTGGTGTTGTTTCCCATGGGGCATTTGTCATTGTCAAAAATGTTTTGGATGCTCTGTGGATTTGGTTCATACAGGAAATATTGGGGATAGGGGTGAATCAGCTACTTGCCACTCTTTCCGACCAATTGATATATCCTACCAACATTCGAGCTTCCCATTTACAGAACAGCAGCAATAAATTAAATTGAAGACAGGTAGCCAGATGATGTATTCAGTAAGTTTTTTAATGGAGCAGCTGGAGCCTATCATATTGAGTATACTGATGTATTGGTGCAGTTTAATATTAGGAGGACTATGACGCACTTTATACAAACTTTATAACTAAATGAATTGAATTGCATGTTCTGCATATATAGAAATGATATTGAAACTTCAAAGGGAGAAAATGTAATTTCAGTTATTGTTATTGGAAATGTAAGGAAGGACTCTATATTCTTGGAATCTGGGGGAAGAAGGAAAATTGACACTGCAAAATGCAGAGGGTTTTTTTTTCATTTCCACATTTCATTCAAGCAAATCAACTGAGGTGTGTTTCTTTCAGTAGCTTATACCTCTTGGCTACATGCAGCAAAGGGAGTCATCCATCCTTAATCATAGCTGTCAAAAAGGCAAAAGCGCATCTGCTATGCACGTCGTATTGAACGTATTGGGAAAGGAAAGGGAAAAGAATGAATAAGCTATAAAATTATCAACTGTTTTAAACTGCAAGGAGATGACTGTAGGGTTGTGTTATTTTAATTGCTTAATAAATATGTTGCTTGGAAACATGATGTGGTTTTCCAGTATGGTATATAGACCAGGAATCTGTACACCAGTTCAGAGACTGAATGGGAATTATATTTGCCAGGTGGAAGAGCACATGTTCAATATTGGTGCAGTATCTCTTATCTGAAATCCTTGGGCACTGAAGTGTTTTGACTTGTTTTTTTACAGATTTTGAAATATCTTGTATGTGTGTATATTTGAATATACATGCAGAATGAGATACCGTGTAAATAGGACCCAAGTCTAAACATGAAGTTCATTTATGTTCCATATACAACTTATACTCAAGCCAGAATATAATTTTATACAATATTTTCAAATAGTTTTGCACATGAAACAAAGTTTGTGTACACTGAACCATCAGAAAGCAAAGGTGTCATTGCCTTAGCCATCCCTGTGGACAATTTAGGATTTAGGATTACTTTGGATTTAAGATTTCTGGATCAGGGGTGGTTAACCTATATTCTCCCCATAACTACATTATGTAAAGTATGATGTATGGAAAAACATCCATGTGGAAGAATGATTGAGCCCTCATTTTGAGAGGGAAGGATTGTCCAGTTTTAAAGGAGGAAAGGATGATAACGCACATAGAGGATCAAGTTAACCTGTCACCGATATGGAATATCCATGCTACATGTAAGATTTGTGGTTGGGTAGAAGAATATGGGCTTCCAACACACTATTACTTGTGTAAATGCAGAAAGGAGATGTATCTCCTACACAATTGTAAAATGCCCCCTTGCTTCTGTGAATCACCCGAAAGTTCGCATCATTTTAAAACTGATTTAGAATGTTTAATTGTCCTGAGTCCCTTCGGGGAGATAGGGTGATCTACAAATAAAATTTTATTTATTTATGTATTTATTTATTAATTATTATTATTTCAAACCTAATGAATTACAGTTTTTCTTTAACAATTGCATATGGTGTTCCTTATATTCCCATTACCGTCATGATAGAAATTAGTGTTCTCAACCTGTAGATCCCCAGATGTTGTGGTCTTCAACTCCCAGAAATCCTAACAGCTGGTAAACTGGCAGGAATTTCTGGGGTTGTAGGTCAAAACATCTGGGGACCACAGGTTGAGAATCACTCAATAATCAATGCTAATCAATACTAATCAATTCTATGTCATGCTTTAGGCCATGATAGCATTAATTTTGGTTGTCAGAGACAGCAACTTAGGTAGAGCAAAGTGGTAAAAGTGAATTGGCACCAGATCCTACAACTTGTAGAGATGCACCTGCTTTTTGTAGTGCATCTCTTTTTCAGTTGGTGTGATATCTATGTTTGCAAAAAAATCTTGAAATTTATCTTTTTTAAGAAACTTGATCTGCAGGTGAATGTTTCCCTTACAGTTGAGGTAGCTGGCAAATTTCATATAGAAATAC